CAGTATTCTGCAAGGCAGAAAGAACACTTCATTTTTCAGATCCATAATGTGCATTCGAGTTCCACCAGCAATAGAAAATGTAATTGTCATTCAGAAATAAAGATGTTATACTGATTTCCTCTACCTGCCATTCTTTGCAAGGAGCCAAATTATAGATGGTAGGTTTCCCTTTCTTAGACATAGCGGTAAAGTCTAGATGTAGCAGGTAGTCTTCCTCAAAATTCAGGGAGTCTTTTTGGTAAAAAAAAACCAGCTATTTTTGGCTTCTGGTCTTCAGAACTAATGGATATTTTATATCTGAATTGGGTCAAGAAGGGAACCTCCCATAGACATCTCATCAAGAGGGAGATCTTATATATAGAAACTAAGGCTGGTTTAAGAAGGGCGCTGTTGCCCCAGTGGCTGGAGAGAGCTCAGGGAGGAGAGGACGAGTAGGGAGCCAGTGTGCCATGGGGACAGGTCTCTTGGGTCTGACATCAGTCAAAACACCTTTGGAGAGCCCTGTGCTGAAAACTGCTAATTGAAAATCCATTTTGACAACTCCGTGACCAGAGATGAATATTAGACTTACATATTTGGGTACATGAGCAAAACTGTTGGTCAGTATTGTTTAATGGCTGCAAAACTCTTCGTAAATTGTGTAGGTTCTTAGCATGATGGTCATCACATTTAGCAGCAGCCACTGCTTGAGGATTCTGTGTTCTGAACTTTTTTGTTTGGATCAAGAGCAAAACAAAAGCCTAGGAGGTCCTTGTGCATAGCCTGTGATTACGTGTGTCTGTTCAAATACATTTTTGCATTATAGTGTTAGCAGAGAATTTTCTGACAAAACAGAAAATACGGAGTCTTAACCTCCAACATTTACAGAACCAGGCTGAATTTAATGAACCTTTGACAAGACATAGGTGGGAGTCTCACAAAGCCCTCTCTGCTGCTGGAGATATACCTGGCTGCCTATAATTTGGGATCCTCTGCTTCAGAACAATCCTGGTATCAGTCCTGTGTTGAGGACTAATTATACATGAATTATATTTATGTATATGCTCATTTTTTTATATTTCTATATTACAGAAATATATAAAACAGAAATATACAATATAGTATATATTATTTTATTTATTATTATATCACTATGCCTTTAAATTTAATCCTGGGACAGTCCTGTCATGATGTGAGCATGATGGATCTGATGGGGTCTGTGAGTCCAGATGCTGCTGGAGCTTTAGGATTGGCACCATGTGCAGGAATTGAGATTTTTGTTTGTTTGTTTTTAAGAAATGCAGTGTCCACTTTGCATTTATTTCTACCATTTGTATTTGGTAGGGTTTTTTTGTAAATCTACTTTTTTGTGCTGAAAGAGATTGAGTCCTTTAAAAAAAAATTCTTCTCAGAATTGAGATTTTTGCCTGGCTTGCATTTGTAAGCAGAGGGGGGAAAAATCCCCAAATAGCTACTTTTTATTTTTCATCAAAAGCAAGTGGGAGGATTGGAGTGTAAATGGTTTCTACTGCAACTTTTTACCAGTGCTTTCTATTTAGCTACAACAGTATTTTCTTCCTCTTTTTATTATGGTCTAGCAAGAAAAAAACAAACCACAACAAAACCTCCCTAAAAATTCCATCATAACTTCTGTAAGATAATTATTGAATGTATAGTATTCAGTATTAACGACAGTGTAGTCTTCTCTTCTTTTTCCATCATAACCCCAAGCTGTTATTAGGATAAATAATTCTGGTAATGTGTTAGCTCTTGTGGTTCCATAGGAATAGGTGATGTACAAACTTATAAGAACAGCTGTGACGTCTCTCCACAAAATTTATATCCAGGTTTCTCAAACTGCAGTGGCTTTGGCAATGAAGATATTACTCTGATATTGAGTGGCTTTGCTCTGAAGGATCACTCTGAAACCTGAACATAGACCCTGCCTTCCTGGAGTGTCCGCATGCTCCCTGAATATTAAAAGGCATAAATATATTACATTTTGATGGAAGGTAGAGGTAACTTCTCAATTTCATAACGGCTTCACAACAGGTTATACAATTGGGCCAAGCTCATGGTGGAAGTCTTGGGTAAAGCTCTGGGGTTTTGGCAAAGTTCAGTCTAAATCTTCTAAATCACACTTCATTGCCTGGCCTTTTCCCATGTCAAATTATTAGAGCTCGGATGCTAGGCTGTGACCTTTTTGTGGTGTTGTAGAAGTATGAGCATCAGTTTTAGACCTAGAAAATAAGGAGAAATAAAGACTACTGGCTCCCATCTTTCACATCTAGGTGTTTTCAGATACTTTCTGAAATAGATCTTTAATAATGCTTTAATAGTACGTTATATTATAGAAGTTTTCAGAAATTTGATTCTTAAATTCCAGAACACTTCAATAAGCTGTAGATTCTTTTGTTTAATTGCATATGATATAGCCAGATAGTGCTCTGAGGGTTTTAAAAAATTAACTGTGTATGTGCATCCAGTTATCATTGGATATATATGAAATTATAGCAATCATTTATTTAAACTTTGCAAAGTTTCATCACCTATTTAAGCATCTGAAACAGATTAATTAAAAATATTGAAAGGCTTGATCAACAACAAAAGTTTAATTGATTTTGTTAGTTAATTTAAACTAACAATTTTAATTAGGGAGTTATGAAAGGATTATTACTGTTACTTTACACTCGAGTCTGTGATAACCCCTAAAAGTGCAATTACTGTATGTTTCTCCTAAAGCATTCAAAATTATTTGAAAACCTGTTAAAACCATTCATGATGCTTTCTTATGTAATTATTAAAATGCACGTCAGATGCTAAAATGTTAAGAATGACGCACTCTTTTGACAGTAACTGTGCTGTTGATCACAGAGAATCAGCCAGACATCGTGTGGACGTGATGCTTCCTGCTATTGTTTTTATATACTTATCAGAATAATAACATGCATTATTTTTATCAAGTTTGGCTGGTTTACATATGTTTTTAACTTCTCCTTATGTTGTGTTTTCAAACAGTCAGGAATTCGAGATCCCTGGCAGCCATCTTTCTACCACTTTCTAGCTCTTCTGTTTGTGATCGGGTAAAGTCTGAAGTGTGCAAGTCTTGAAGGAGCACAGAGTTGTGAAGTTTCATGGTCACACAACTCTTTTCAAGGTGCTTTTTTACCCTTAGGTCCCAAACGATTGATAGAACAGAATTTTTTGGCTTTCTACTTGCCCTTCAGGGCCAAGTGCTGGGTTTCAAGGCCAAGCTCTGGGTCCTGCACTTGGGTCACAACAACCCCATGCAATGCTACAGGCTTGGGGAAGAGTGGCTGGAAAGCTCAAATCTGCCTGGCAGATAAGAACCTGGGGGTGCTGGTTGACAGCCGGTTGAATATGAGCCAGCAGTGTGCCCAGGTGGCCAAGAAGGCCAACGGCATCCTGACTTGTATCAGGAATAGTGTGGCCAGCAGGAGCAGGGAAGTGATTGTGCCCCTGCACTCGGCACTGGTGAGGCTGCACCTCAAATACTGTGTTGAGGTTTGGGCCCCTCAGTTCAGGAAGGACATTGAGTTGTTGGAGCACATTCAGAGAAGGGCAACAAAGCTGGTGAGGGGTTTGGAGCACAAGTCTTATGAGGAGCAGCTGAGGGAACTGGGGTTGTTTAGTCTGGAGAAGAGGAGGCTGAGGGGGGACCTTATAGCCCTTTACAACTGCCGGACAGGAGGCTGTAGCGAGGTGGGGGTCAGCTTCTTCTCCCTGGTGATAGGACAAGAGGAAATGACTTCAAGTTGCTCCAGGGCAGATTTAGGTTGGACATTAGGAAAAATTTCTTTACTGAAAGTGTTGTCAAGCATTGGAATGGGCTGCCTAGGGAAGTGGTGGAGTCCCCATCCCTGGAGGTATTTAAAAGACGGGCAGACGAGGTCCTTAGGGATATGGTTTGGTGGTGGGATGGCAGGGTTAGGTTAACGGTTGGACTTGATGATCTTAAAGGTCTTTTCCAACCTAAACGATTCTATGATTCTACTAAGAAAAGTGATGTGACCCCCCTTCTTCCTGCATATGGGAATTTTCTCTTTTGAAAATGAGAATTGGATTTGTAAAAAGAGAAAATGACTTGCTACATTTTCGAGTAAATGATGCAATTTCAGCAATGCTGACTGCTGTCTTTACTGTGACTTTAACCAGCAGAAATCCCCTGGTGCAGAAAGGATACCAAGGCTGCCCTGCAGGCGGAAGTTGCAGTTTTCCACTGAAGCATCATTGCAAAATGAATGGTAGCTGTGGGACTGCAAAACAAACCCACATCCTCCTTGTAGCTCGAGTTCAGTGATCGTGTTCATTTCTCTGTTAACCACTAGTACTGGGGAAGAAAGAAAAGAAAAAGAAATGCAGGCAGCAAGAAGAAATACTAGGTGATACAAAAGAGGAGGGTATCAAAGAATGGGTATTTCACACCCTACCTAGCTACCTAAGCTGTGGTGGACATTAACCTAAGTACATAACCGAAGGCAGCGTTCTAGGGCTTTCAGGCTACTTAATATCCTTTATTGTCTAAATGAATTGGTTTCTTAATGTAGTTTGATAAAATAGAGAGGAACTTTTGCATAGAGGATGTGATGGAGTGTAGAAGGCATAAACAGAGTTCCAAACAAGGAGAGATTCCTGGAGATTTAGAGCAGCTCAAAAGCAAAAGAATCAAAAGGATTAAATTCATATCAAGTGAAAGATTATTCTTTTTTTTTTAAGAAATACCTTATTGCTGTCTCTTGCATTTAGAATTATTTTCCATAGTGAAGATTCTTCCTGCAACATATGGTTTGAAATATTTTTCTCTTCGATGCTATGCCACAGCTCCTTTTTTCACCTAAATATATGCAATAAATCCTCTAACAGCAATAATCAAGATCAGTGTGTGCAATCGGAGACACCTGAAGGTTGCAGCAGAATCCTATCATATCTTGTTTGTTTGAAAAATAACACCATGACTGAGTTCTGACTGACATGCTTACTTGCCTAAAACTGTTTTTCTGATGTCTACTTTTCTGCTTATCTGTATTTCATTGAAAGTGGTAATAATTATTCACATTACTTCTTCATGAGCGCATGGGGACAGTATCACCGGTTAAATTCGAAAAAGCAGAGAAAACAAATTGTTGATTGAAAATATACAAAGGAAGATTTACTCAGTTCTCTTCCAAAATGCCTAGACAATAAATCAGACTTTTCAATAAAAATTAAAATTAAATAAACACAAGGAAAATTGGAGAGAGTCATATTGCAGACAGCTGTGTTATGAAACATTAATTTGCTCTGAATGCCAGGAACATTTGTTATAAAGCAGCTGCCTATTTATTAAATATTATCATAGTGTGTTATCTACCATATTTCTACTTCTTGTGTTTTGAATCAGTATAAAACATGTTTAAAAGAGGACTTTAATATTTTTACAAATTACAAATAAGATGATGAATGAATGTGTTCAAGTCCCCTGCAAGGAATTTGGTTTCGTGGCCATACTTCTAAAGAAAAAATCAATGGCAAACCAGAAAACCGAAACATTCTGCTTAAAAATGTGAAAACACTTTGACAAATAAAGCCAGCAATGGAGAAATTATCAGTGGCAAAATTTTTACTTGAAAGGTACCTCAAATGTCTTGGCATATTCCATCGTGTTTCTTGAATATTTCTCCACCGTTATTAGAAAGTATCATGTGCACATTGTACTTAAAAACAAGCTGGCAAAAGCAATTGTTAGATCTGGTTTGTACCGTCACTTTAATAAAATGTTGTCTGTACTGAGTTGCCATGGGAGACATTTACACATTCATAATCCCTCAGGTATTTTCTCACAAAAATGGGAGCCATCTCTTCTGATTTCCGTTCTGTTGCTTCTTTACTAGTTCCTTGTATACTTCTGACCTTAGAAACCTGGGAAAAGAGTCCTTTGCCATGAGACTATAGATTAACCTCTGAGCATCATCAAAACAGCTGAGGGTGGGCTCGGAGATATTCTGAGAGATGTCGTTTTTGGTATGGAAGTCAATATTAATCTGTAGGAAGAAAGGAGGCGTAAAACCAGTGTCAGTTTGATTGGAAAGCTGAGGTCCGTTCATGTACAGGACACAGTCTGCATTTGAATTTCCTCCCAAATACCCTGGCTGATGCTAATAAGCAGGAAGGTCACCCCTTCATTTTCTAGCATACTGAATTCTAAATTTTATTTGGTTCTTAAAAAGATGGCACCACTGAAAAAAGAAGGGAAACACTTGCTTCTGATTATCTCATCTTTTTGCTAACCCAAATGCTATGAAGTACCAATTACCAAAGAGTAAATTAGAGATGAAGGTACTCAGCACCGATTTAGGTTTTGGCCCTATGTATTTTGTAAGGATTTTTTGGTTTTAATAGTAATAAGATGGCTTTCAATCATATGCAAGACGTGGGGACATTCAAAGCACGCTCACTGTCAATAGCAAAGACATCAGTGCAGAAGTTTGTAAGGGAGGAGAAGGTGAACAATAATTAATTAGCAATTTGTCCCTTCACAGTAAGCATATTTAAAATAATGATAAAATTGAATGCTGTGATGGACATTTTTGCAAGTTTGCATTTTAATTTTCATCGTGTGAAAAATACTTGTTGAAACGAACAGAATCATTAACATTCCAACATACTGGTACCTAAAATGCAGAGGAAATGGTGCTTATTGCACTGTAGAAATGGTTAGACAAAACAAATGATATTGAGCATATATTTCCTTAAATTTTAAGGTAAGAGTTTCAGAAGGTGAGATAAACCCATGCCTTGTGCGAAGAACATATTTAAAGTATAAACCATAAGGCATCTTTCTTTGCTTCAGAGTTCCATACAGTGTTTTCTACCTGGTAAATAATTGACCTCAAAATGGAAGTGCAACCACATTGAATTGTATTTTCTGTCATGCCTGGAAGCTTGGATCTGAACTTTCTACTTGATTCCCATCCTCAGTACCCAAAGGACACGCAAAAAACCTACTTACCTCCTTGGGAGCATCAGCTTCTATAAAGTCAGAATAAATCTTTTGGGCTTTTGAGGCGATCATAGTGGAGCACTTGGTCTTCTTGAAGTCCTCGCAGGCCAGCCAGAACTCTACATTCTCCTCACTGAACTCTGACTTCAAAAATGTCCTAAAAGCTGCCAAGCCATCTGGGGAAAAATGCATGAGATGATGGGTAGAGGAAAACTGAAAGATCGATGCAGATTATATGTATATCTATACATGTGTGCGCATGTATAAATATCTGCAGTATAGATAGCGTAACTTATGTGACTGATACAGTTCTGCTTGTCAGCCCACAATTAGGCTTAAGAGGCTGTTGTGGGAGAAATAAATAGGAGGTGAAACTATAGTGGTGATAAGGCGACTAAGAGAATTCTTTCAGAGAGTTACTGATTGAGGAATGCTCCCAATGCCTGCCTGCTGTGGTTTGGTCTCTAGCACTGACACAGTAGTCAAAAGGGGATCCTGGATATTTTGGTCTTCACAAGGATTTGTAGAGATGAGGAAATTAGGATTTGCTGCTGACCCCTGGTCTAAGAACCAAGCAGAAAATTAAGCCATATTGTAGTAGCGTGCTCCTCTCGGAGCTGAGTTTAGCCTGCCTAAGTAGTGCTGCCATCTCCTTTCAAGTAATGATTAAGACTTGGATGAAGAGATGGACCCTCTCTTTTTTTGGCTTTTTTTGTGCTTCTAAGAGGAAAAATTAAACAAAGAAGGGTTTGTTTGGAAGAAATTGTTTTAAAACTAATCCAAATCACAAGCTCTTAGAAAAGAAAGCAGACAGCACCCAAATATAGTTGTGTTAGTCAAGTTAATATCAGAAGCAGTGTGGTGGCACCCCAGGGTCCAGGCCACAAATTTACCGCAGGAAAATGGGGCAGGGGCAAGGAAATTTTTAAGTTACATGTGGTTTAGGGTTTCGGGTCAGTAGGAATGGGAACTCTTGGAGAAGTGACTTTAGATATATTGGAAATAATCGGGTTTTGTTTGACTGAAAGTCAATGCACACCACATATATTTCTTCGTAACAGAAGGAAACTAAGAAAAGGTTTCTGGGTTTTTTTATTTAAAAAAAAATGGGAAAAAGAGACCCATTGCACGGAGAGTTTAACAACTGCTATCTTCATAAAACAAAACTCTTTCATAACACTTCTGCCTTCCTAAATGCCCCTTAAGCATTGGCCAGAATGTGTATCGTGCTTGCAGCCTGGAGAAACATGCCCCTTCACCTTTCAGCGCGGCCGCTCGCATGCCTCCAGCAGCAGCATTGGTGTGGTTCAAAGCACGTGGAGAGTTGAACTGGAGAGCAGTGTGAAAACCTGACAGCAACATTTGTGAACTGGCTCGACGCACATCTTTAAAATAATATTCTCCACTTACTTCTTACCTTTATTAGCTAGTAGTGTATCCACAGACTCAGACCAGGCCATTGTTTCCCCAGTGTTTGACCTGTGGAAACAACATCTATCCTTGAAAATAGCATTGTGATCTTTCGCCTGCGCAGTCTGTGGTAGCTGCTCTACTACTTGGCTACCTCCTTGAGGGAGCAGGGTGAGTAACTCATGTTACCCTATGCACTCAATAACAGAAAGTCAACAAAAAGTGTGACACACAGTTATTTTAAAGTGTAAAGAACCATATAGACTCATAAAGTACCGTGTTATTTGACATTGGCAACTGGATTATTCATCCCGGAGATAGTAGTAATGCTTGCAATTGGTGGAATTATAGTAAAGGCATAGGAGGGATATTAACGTTCTAGAGCGTGCTCTGAATTGCTTCTCGAGTTCAAATGGATTAACCATTAATTTATATGACACTTTTCGGTTGGAATGAGTAGAATTATCTAAAATGTCATCACGCTAACAGTGGTAGGATAAATGGGCATTATTTCAGTTTCTCGGTGGTGTAAAAAATTGAGTAAATTCATAGTTTTGGCTTTTCCTTTGTAACTTGCTGTAGGCTTCTGTTCGAAACGAGACATGGAACTGAATGGGCCCTTGCTCTTACAAAGCCTGGGTGCTCTGAAGACGTTCAGGCTGGTTCAGAAGCAAGGCTCTTTTATTCCTGCAAAATTATGTTTTGATTAAAGTTACCATTGTATTACTTTTTAGTTTAAACATCCCGCAGAGAAAAAGAATCTCCCTTACCAGCATTATTGTTATTGCTTGCACTTTTTGTCATGAAACCTTGGAAGAATATGATTTCTTGAAAATGGAACATTTGCTGGAAATGTCAGCATGTGCCTACCTGCTTTCCTGCATGCCAGTTTTTCTATTTGATTTTCTCAGCTTTTTGGCAGTCAGTGAGTTTACAGCCTCAGGCATCTCCAAATGAACTTAGCCTCATATCTACCATTCAGTGACAAGCAGGAATAAATCTGGTCATCTAGCTCATATTTTGGTTTAGAATAAGGAGCATGCTTCATTAATAAACCTCAGTTCAGCGGTTTGTAACTGAAATTTTTTTAAGGAAAATTTTGGAAATAAAAAAATTCAAATCATACAAATGTCCTTGGCCAAAATTTTTGAGCTAGAAATGTCAAGTGTTAATCGGCTCTTCTTGTAACCTCTAAAGACAGGTAGTAAAAGAAATTTGTTGAGCTGATATCCTATTATCTATGGAACAGATTCAGTAGAAGGTTTTATCCCAACTTGTTTTAAATTTTAGTAAAATTAATGCATATTATTTTTTCTTAAACTTAAAAGTATTAAGGGAATGAAGATTGGTTTACTAGCATTTTGCACTTGTGAAAGATCTTGAACTAAAACAAATGGTTCAAAGTGCAAGGCCAGAGCAGAGTAAGGAATTGATTTCCTCCCCCCCTCCCCATTTTGGACACAGATTTTTTTATAAGGAGTCACGTCAACTCCAGAATACCTGCAAGAATACCTGGAGAGGTAGGTAATAATTAAATAGATTGGTATCTCATGTTGCTTTTGTTGAAACTGTTACATTTTATACAAGTAGTAGAGATGTTTTAACCAAAGAGATAGGAAATCAACTTTCTAATCCTCTGGTTATGTATCTTGTATAAGCTATGGTAGGCAGGGGGTTTGAAACTGAATTTGCATTCTGTGTGAATATAGTAGTCACTTGGCATCTCGGCAGCTCTGGATTAGTTTGTGTGTATCTTCTCTCTCATTTGGTGGTAAGAAAGGGGGAATTGGAAAATTTGGCAACATTTTCTTTTGTTTCAGTGCAAAATCAAAAAAAAATCCAGGATTTTTGATGGAAACAGAAACTTTATTTTCTGACTACACCCTGTTTCCATTTGAAAAACCTCACAACTTAATTTTTATGGAGGTTTGTCATTCTGTACTGAAAGGTTTCTCTCAGTTGGTCTTTCTGGTTTCAGACACAAACTCATGGGGTGTAATTCTTTCCTACATCATGCCTAGGTCTTATATTCACATCCCTTAGGGAGGACAGGAGTTCACCCTACCTAAAAGTTGAGTAGGTCATCCTTGGCTCAGCAAAGCAGCACAAGCTGCAGATGCTCCACAGTACCGAGGGGTGGGAAATTTGGGCGAGTGGAAAACAGGGTGGAAAAGGCTCTGCCAAAGCACAGCACCTGCCTGCACGTGCCGTGCTGCTCTTTGCTCCAGCACGATAAGAGCAGGTATTCTCAAGGCTGGCAAGATGCCTATCCATCAGGAGAGCATTTTAAAGTAAACTTTGAAGTAAAGTTAAGTTCACCACGCTTTTGTCTGTCTGACCAACTGGTGTCAGTTTTATGCAGTCTTATCACCTTTATGCTGACTATTGGCTTCCTGCCACTGTATATACTAACTTAAAAAATAGGCATTTTAGGAACTAAAAGGCTCTAGAAACTTATAAATGGACCAAACACTTTAAAATATTGGACCAAACAAGATAAAATATTACAGGTTTTCCTAATTTGCGAAAAAACCCCACCCTAGGATTCTGTAAAAAATATTTGATATTCCTAAGGGGATTCTGAGAGCTCAACTATCAAAACCCTGCTTTGAAGTATACAAATTAGTTTGAGAGCTGTATTCCACAGCCATTTCTCAGCATTGCCAGTAATGGTATTTTCTAATTGTAAATTTATAAAGAGATTATATGACAGTGTCACCCTATTACGTAGCTGTAGTTATAATTATTACAACAGATTGTGGCATTGACATGTTGACAAGCAAGCTTTTTTGCAGCTGACAGTTTACTTGTAGCCAGACTGCACAAAATTATATTTAAACAAAAATAATAAAATTATGCATATTTATACATGTATATGCACACATACGTGAGGGAAACCAGGGTGCAAATATAGTCAGTCTGTATTGAAAACACAAATGAAAATGAAGTGTAGCATTATGTAGTATTTTGGGAGACATCCTGTGCTGATGAAATTAATCAGCAGAGAATTTATTTTAGTAACTGTAATAAACATTTATCAAATATATAACAAATTTTCAGGTTGCTCAGTAAATATTTACTAGCTTTCTTGTCAAACAAAAAAGCAAAATGAAAGACTGGGATAAAACAGGCAGCATCAACCTAATTCTGCTTCTCTTCCTTATGGGTAATATTATTTGGTTTAATATTTACTTATCACTCAAGAGAATTATCTCACTGACCTCAGGGGACTTACTTAAATGGAAATGGCAAGCAGAATTGACAAGGAATCAAAATAATCATATCCACTTTAAAGGGGGAAGGAAAATAAAAGCTGTCCAGACTATTCAAAAGTTGATCACCCCATCCCATAAACCTCCTATGATTAAAATAGCCATAAACAACAACTCACTTCACTGGCATTTTTTGTTCCACTGTCTGACTGTCACAGGTAGGGCAGAATTTCTTTTTCTGACTGATCTTCAAGCTGAAGGTAACGTGACAGCAGGAACAACACAATTAGCATGTGAACAACCAAACGGTACAATGCAAATTGACAAACTGTTTGTAACACTTCCTTTAAAATTATTTCTTTCAGAAACATGGCTTATTTTTTAACAGTGGCCATTCTAACTTAATCTACCAAACACAATTTTAATTAAAAACAATTTATATGCAAATATCTCTCAAGACATATTTATGTTCTGAACAACATCGGACCAGACAAATCATCTTGAGATTTTTTTCTCACTGGCCATTTGGCTTACTGACTGCGGAAATGAAAAAAGGAAAGACCTAACTAGGAAATTCTTCACGATAGTTATTTACTTTCATACTGTATCTGCAAAGCTTATCCCTCACCTTATAAATCTTGAGGGTCTAAGGCCCTTGAGCCATTCTCTCTTCGGTTTATTCATACAAGGTTTATCGCAATGGGACCAAAGAGCGTTGGGGCGGCCATCATTTGCACATTGATGCTGTTACAAATAATGGGATTGTGCAGAAGTTGATACCTTCAGTGCAGTGATTTTTTTCTACTCTTATGGAAATTTCATTCTTTGTGCCATCTTCTAGGAACATCACTCTGCCCCAAAAGCATTGTCATGTAATTTTGTCTTTTGCTCTTGGTAATTATTCTTTCCTCCTCAGCTCTTTTCTTTCTATGTTCCTTGCTGTCCCTCACTCCCCTGAACAAGCAGGCTTACTGATTGCCCCCTTCCCTCCCTCCAATCTTGTCCTGCTGCCTAACCCTTTGCTCACCCTACCCAATGGTTCCCAATGTCTCCACTTGATATAAATAAATTTCCAGTGGTTCAGGAACAAAGATCCAGCTGTCTCACCTGCAGAATATGGGATTTTTGTTCTTCTCGGTTAAAATATTTTACACCAAGTAGAGCAGCCTCAAGAGTTTAGGTCCCATTTGGTTTCTCTATATGGTGTAGTCACACACTGAGCTGGCTTCTGCCTGACTGAGGACAGTCTTTCTTATTTTACCTATGCCTATCTTCTAAGGTAAGAAAGAAAGACCCAAGCACCACATGTCACATGTTGACCTTGGCAACTTTCAGGGGTTATTCTCTATCCTCACCTTTGTGGATCTGTAAAAGAAGTTTCAGGCCGAACTATTGGATGAATTTCACATGGGACAAAAAAAGATAGTGATCTCATTAATAGTGCTCCTGAAAGTTGAAATCAGGATGGGATCAGATAGAGAGAGGTGGCTTACTGGGATGATCGGGAGAATTGAGCTGTCTTGCAGGAGAATAAAAGACTTCGGTTTGACTGTAAAATGAAAACTAAGTGGAGCTATGATGGCTCTCTGTGAATACCGAGGGGTAACCCAGAGAGAAAAAAGAACTATTTTAGCTTGATGATCATATTGTCAAAAGAAAAAAAAATTATATAAATAGCCAGTGAATAAACTTAGGCTGGAAATCAGAAGGCTTCAGAAAAAGTGTTGTTTTTAACAGTCTCCCAGTAGAATTTTTATCCTCTCTACTCCTCTGTACTTCAACATCAGAGCTTCATATGTTTATGAAAGAGATGATTTTAAATTGTTGCCTTTGATAATAGGAAGCTAGAAACGATGACCCAAGATACCCCTTTGAGTCCTACATAACACTAAAAAAGATTCCTGGCAGCAAAATACAAATTCTTTCTGCAATTTCTTACCTTTGCCTCCACTTGCTTCTGAAAGTTATAACAGAAGGAGAGAAATACGAATTATCATCCTGATTCTCTTCAGTGCTGCTTATTTTCCTTAATCAGTTATTTTTTCTTATTTCCACAGTGTACTGCGGACTGTAACGCTGTGCCAGACAGGACCAAAACCCTTCCGTGCGTTGTGCTGGTAAGCCTAACTTCAGCATCTTACAGGTGGAGAGGAAACCTTCAGTGTCTGCATTTATGTTAAATCCTTTGTGACTGATTCAGTCCCAGGTTTGAGCTTTGGTAAAAGAGGCTAAACATGATACAAAATCCAAACAATATTTATTTGTAGAGTTTCTGGCCTGGCAGACTGTGGATAGCTACCACTTGAATTTTCTAACAGTGAGATTGTCTCTTTGTCAATTATTGTTGAAATAGGACCTTTTTTTTCCTAATGTTATGCTTTGTGACTGCTGGTCTACCTTGCTCATGTAGCAAACAAGAGGTTCTTCTGCAAATATGTACAGGTATTTACATGCATTACTGTGTCTTGTCATTTTTAGGAAGGGACTTGGCTTTTAAGTGCCCTAGGTTCTCACTGGGAAGTGGCCAAGATTTAGAAGCAGTTCAAAATAGGTGTTGAATTTTCAGCCAAGTAATAAAATTCTAGATTAAGGCCTGATGCAAGTTTCCTCCCGATTCCTTGGTGTAATGCCAGTAAAGTCAGTGCAGTTACAAGGACAGAGATGACACCAAATTAAGCAACACATCATTCTTGGTTGATTGCATTCATTTCTCAGTGTTTACCCTGTGTCTAATCCCCATGACTATACCATTCACCCACCTTAGAACTGTGATTATAAAATGACTTATGTTACGTTATTGAAGAGGTAATATCATTCTTGTTATATAATAGTCCCATCAACTCCTGTGAGGCTATTTATGGGAGGGAGGGTTGCAGGATGTGTGCCTATTTTTTTATAACCATCTGACTGAATGGCACATTACACGGTGGTGAAAATCCCTCATAGCTTCTTTGTGGTTTTGTGAATTGTGATCAGTAGCCCACAAAATGCAAGAGCAATCGGTTTGCATCCATCTAGTTATTCTGTGTGCTAGTCGGAATACTCATGGGTTTTGGCATCCTTCTGTGGCTGTGAAGGCTGACTTAAAAATATCTATCAGCACTGAAAATCTCCAAGAGATGATCATGTCTGTATTATTCAGACATCAGGCAATTAGATAGAAATTTTTAAAAATGCATTTTTCAGGTACTGATCACAATTCACAAACCCACAAAGAAGCGATGAGGGATTTTCACCATTGTGTAATGTGTTGTTCAGTGACTGCTTAGTCTATGTAAGCTGATTGTATTTCAGGTACACAGCAGGTAATAGAGCGGCTGTTTTTTTTTTATTATTATTATTATTATT